TAATAACCCCAAACTTTTGAACAATAGTCTCACCTGCATCTATTTTAAAATACATTTAAAAATTACATTATTCATGAATATATATGCATGCTTTGCACCTCATTATAATTTTTTCCTCACAGAATTATAAAACATTTGCATGAAGTGACCTTTGAATCTTAAAAATATCTATGTTTAGAATAATACAGAGTTGAAATGCTGCTTAGTGAATCATTGCATGAATCATTTTGCTTCTCTTCTTTTGTAGGACTGCACTTATTTCACCAGAAAAGAAATTCTGAGGTGAGGTAGCTACTTAGTAAAATTAAAAAGGCATCTGAGCTGTAACTACTAAAGTCGTATTATAGACTTAGGTAGTAGCGGAATAGTTGAGAAGAGTTATCAATGAATATTTGACATCTTTCCTCAGACTGTTTCATCGATACCGAGATTTGGCTCCGCAGCTCGTGCCGCTGGACTACACGAACCAACCGGAAGTGCGTTTGCCCTACGAGCTGATCGGCAGCATGCCGGAACTGAAGGTACGGCGCAGCTCACTCCTGTTCCTCATCAATTATGAACCTCCTACTAATTGATCGCAGTCTTCGTGAGGTTAAGCGTTATCAGATCCCTTTACCTCTAGAGGACCAGAGTTTAATGAAGTGTTTGTATTCGCAAAGAGAAAACAAACGAAAGCATTTGAGACACGCAAATACAGAACTAATGAAATTATATTCAAAAAGATTTACCAATAATTATGAGGATGGACATTACCATATGCCAACCTGAGAATAATTTATTCTGATAGCCCAATATTTATTCAAACGAGTAATTTGTGTTTTCTGTCAGCTGTTTAGAATCAAAACCTGCGATGATTCCAGAATGAAAAATGAAAATTAGGCTGTGTTTTATTCACCCCCGAGACATTCTAGGTGTATATGACTTTCTTCTTTCAGACGAATCCAGTCGGAGTTATATAAAAAATTGTCTTTGATCTTTCAAGCTGTTTAATGGCACTCAGCGGGTGTTGCATTGCTTCAGGCATGTTGTGTTCACTTGTGTTATCTTTGACTAATATTTAAATTTGTTTGATGATCTGAAACATTAAAGTGTGACAAACATGCAAAAAAATAAGAAATCAGGAAGTGGGCCAACACTTTTTCACACCACTGTACACCTAGGATGACTTGAGGGTGAGTAAAACACAGCCTAATTTTCATTTTTGGGTGAACTAACCCTTTAACATAATTTAAGGAAAAGAGAAAAAAGTTATTGTTTTCATAGTTTTTTGACTCGTGTAGTCTTGCATTTTAATAAATAATTTTGCAAAAGACAAGTAGCAGTAATACTGCTATTATTAAATTATATTATTTTTTAAATTATTAAAAATATATATTTTTTCATAGGACTAATATTATTATTCAGGAACAAAATACTATAATGTACAAATTTATATTACAGATAAAATGGTATGAAAATTTCATATTATATTCATATTCATATAAATTTCACGATTATAGTGACCAAAATTATCACATCAATATTATCACCAGGGGTTAAATTGGGTAAATTGGCTATGCTTACGCTGGTGACTCATCGTGGACTTTCTCATACATTTTCAACAATATAGGCTATTTTGAAAATTTTCTCATTCTTACTAATTCAAGCAATGATATGTTTTTATTTATATGAATGTATCTCTGCGCCTCCTACTGGCAGAGAACCAATTTGCGTGTTCAATAAGCCTGTCTGCAGTTTTTGTTCAGATCAATGCGAAAATCCGCTCATTTAACCCCGTTTTAAATTAATATAATAGTTTATACTTCTGAATCATCCCTGTTCTTAAAAAATGGTTTAAAGGCTGCAGGTTTTTCATTTTATAATTTATTTTGTTTTTGTGAAAACCTGTAAATCATGTTATTACAGTCATTTTACAGTTTAATGTTACCATAGACATTGCCCTACCCTGCTCATGGTAGGCTATTCATTTTTATTTTGAAATTAATTTTTTTAGGTCTTTAAAAAAGCTTTAAAAAGTCTTGATTTTAAAATTCCTGCAGATGTAGCTTTGCACACTGCCAGCATCTAGAATGATTTTGATCAGCATTTCAGTATTCATAGCCTCTCAGCTTGTTATATTTTACAGTTTGTCTAATCGATATTAGATTTTGTTGGCTTTGCATACACATGTGCACCCCTCGAAAGCCTGAAACCTCAGAGAATTCTTGCACTTGAACAGTTTAAAATCGTTTGAATGCTTTTAGATTGGCAAGACTTAAAACACATGCAAGTCAAAAATAAAGCATTAAGCTGAAGGTGGAAATTTTCCAAAAAGCGTACAAACTCTTAAGAATAAAATGTCATGTTTTATGTAGGATAACCCGTTCAGGCAGAGGATCGCTGAGGTTTTCTCTGAGGACGGAGAAGGGAACATGACTTTGGACGACTTTCTGGACATGTTTTCAGTGCTGAGTGAAATGGCCCCACGGGACCTGAAGGCCTATTACGCTTTTAAAATCTACGGTCAGTTTGAAACCAGAATTATACCTAAAATTAGCAACTCTTTGTGGGTTTAGCTCAAACTGGTTTGAAATGATGCTAACCGGCCTCTCAATCAACCTTTAGTTAAAGGGTACTTCTATGTCTTTTGTTTTTTTCAACACTGAATCTAACAACACACATATTTAACAGTTCAAAATGTGTGGTAAAACCCAAAGTTCATAACTCAACTCAAGTTCATAATTGTTAATGCGTTTTTTATGTAATGTAATCATTAGCAATTTTTTAAAGGATGTAATGGAATTGTGCATTGGATTTAATAGATTAATGATAATGTATTGTATTATTTATATACTAATATAGTTTTTATGAATTAGTTTGTATTGTAATATTTTCCATTTTAAGTTTAGTTAAATTTTTGTATTTTATGTGCTTTTTTCATTTAATAAACACACACAGACAAAACATACAGGAGGTCAACAGTATCACCTTCATGATGCATAGATCCAAAATGAAAGATCAAGTATTAGTTATTAAGACAAACGGCAAGTTGGGGACATTATTATTGGACAGGGAGAGAAGAGAGATGCCATGGGTACAGATGAAGATGCAAATATGAACCCAAAAACAGCATCTCCTGGAGGTGGAAAGAGAACAAGGTGCAAACAGGAAGTAGCTCAACATTTAAGCTTGGAAAAAGAAAAGTGGCCATTTTTAGGATGCGGCATATTGCAGCGAGAAGAGAATTTCATGCACTTCTGCCTCGCAGAAAAAAAAAAGTCAAACACTGTGCTTCTCAGACTTTTAAAAACACTTTCAGGTCACGTTTCACCCCAAATCATATGGAATATATATATATATATATATATATATACTGTATATAACAATTAACTTCCCAAATTGTGTAAAAAATTAAATAAAAATGTATTACAATGATTTTTTTTTTTCAAAGCTAGTACAACACACACTGCCCTGATATGCAAATAGTTGATATATTTTATTTATATATGTATATAAAATGTTATAATTTTTGTGCGGGACAGTAATAATTAGACCGCAATCATAAAAACATGCTTGTCATGAAAAAAAATGTTTTTGGGGTGAAATTTGACAGGTTTTGTGAGATTCACTTATTTGGATTCTTATAAATGAAGAACTTGTTTTCACTCAAAGCTAACGGGTGCTGAAGCTTGTGATAAAGTTTCCTGACCTATTGCTGGTGAACACAACTGCACCGACATGTTTCATTTTACAATATGACTACAAAACGTACATTTGAGTATACTGCAGTGCAAAGGCAAAACTACACAATTTGTCAAAATAAGGGTCTCTTGTGACAGGAGTGAAAACAGTGTGTGAAAACATATATATATATATATATACACACATGTATTTGAAGGGCTGTACAACTCTCTAGCGTTGCATTTCTTGCATTAATTATAAGCATGTGCTTATGACAACACACTATTCAGAACTCAGGAATGGTGGATTACTGTATTCTGGGTAGTTAAGCCTAGTCATATGAACCAAATCTGTTTGTTTTTACACTGTGCAACCCAAACTAATAAGACTGACATGCTGTAGGACTGTGTTTCAGATGATACACGTACAGTCCTTTCATAATACATGAGAAATATGAACGAATTAACAAAACATAACTGATAGAAGACTATTTATTCAAACTGTACCAATAGCAGCCAATGCATAAAACTAGCTTTAGCCACTATCAGGAGAACTGATCATTCAAGACTTGTAGAAATGTTCCTTGGGGGAATGAAAATGGCTTAATCTCAAAACGAACATGAATTCGGCAGGTCATACTCCAAAACGCCTGTCTTTATGATGCAAAACTATCACTTGGCACAAACTACACACAACACAAAAGATACTGATAAAGTGCATGGACTTCTGTATACGCGAGGTGCTTTCTCAAGTATAGCTCTGCTTTTCAGGTTACAGTCACCCATTTTCATTGCTTTTGGTTACGCATACTTGTTAACACTACAAACTCAGCATTTCCACATCCTATCAAGGGCTACGTGTCAGTTTCATTTGATTACACTAGTAGATTAAATTCAAGTGTTTTTAATTAAAGAACGCTTTCATGTTGGGCCGTTTTCAGGTCGTGATAAAGCAAGACCTGCACTCTAAAAAATGCTGGGTTAAATACAACCCAGTGCTGGGTAAAATAGGGACAAACCCAGCAATTGGGTTATTTTGAACCAGCGGTTGGGTTACTACCCAGAAGGTTGGGTTAAACATTTATTCAAACCGCTGGGTCAAAACAGCCCAATTGCTGGGTTTGTCCCTATTTTACCCTGCACTGGGTTGTATTTAACCCAGCATTTTTTTTAGAGTGTGAGGCTTGGATTTATTCAAAGGAATGTTATAAGGAAAGCTAGCGCCACTGCATAAAAGACTGAACTATTTGGAAATAGCTTCATGTGCATGTTTTAAAAAAAAAAAGGAAGGGTAGTTTTAACAAGGCAGTAGTAAACATGTCTTAATGAATAAAAAGCAGGATCTTCATTTGTTTAATATGAAACCTTGACTGCACTAAGTTTGTGAATGCAACACTTTTGTGTAACAGGTCTGAAAAATAAAAACTGGGGACAAAAACAGCGAAATGTTTGCTTTTTAAAAAATGAAAGCAAGGAAAAAGCATCTAAGAGGTGGGTTATAATATCCCTCTACTTACAATAAGGTCATGTGATTGTCGAAGAATGCATGAGGGCTGAAAATAAAATGGAATGATAAAGAAAGTCCCACGTAACTCTCAAGCTGGCTCAATATCAGATCACGACTGCTTCCAGGTCGCCATGAAGGAATGGATCAATTTTGGCAGTTGTGTGCTCAAAACGAGCAATTGAAACAAAGATACGGGATCTCCTTTAGGTGCACGTTTACTGCTGGAACTACTGCGTTGATGCTGCAGCACCCAGCTCTTCGCCTTGACTTGCAGAACCAATGCATTCCCACCACGGTTTCATCAGGGAAGGGTCGTAAGCGGCATCGCTAATCTGTCAATGGAAGAAGATAAGAGGAGCCAGGAACTCCGACTGCCCTAGGGCTGGAAGAAGAGCGCGACAAGAGAAGGAGAGATGGGATAAAAGAGGAAGGAGGAGGAGTGCTAAGAGGGAGAGCATAGTCCAGTCGTGTCCAGCCCATGGGCGGCGGACAGTAAGGCCTTGGTCTTCACAGTAGCACACAGCGGAAGAAGCTGCTCTTTTTCTGCTGTTCAGTGGTAATTTTCACTCCATGGTTGCTGCTCTGAGGATTGTTGCCCTCCTGTGCGAGCAAAGAAAAACAAACCTCATCAGACTCAAGACTCAGAATCATTTTATTACTACAGCTCAAGCTAGCCAGAAAATGTGCTAATACGGAGCAAGAGATATCGGATTTGTTCATCCAAAAGGAAAACTGTGGTTACACTTTACTTGAAGCCTTTATATATATATAATGAATTATAAAAGTATTTTTAATGCATTTATTATAATGCATTGTAAGATCTCATTAATAATGCAACAGTTATAATATATTATAATACTTATCTATTCATTGTTGCACCTTAAGAAAACAATGCATTTAAAAAACAAGAAAAACAACCAATTTCAGATGTAAAAACGTATCTTCAAATGTTACAAGGCATTTTAACTTTCATTACAATTTATGAAAATACATTGGAATCTGCAAATATTATAATGCATTTTAACTTTGATTACAATTATTTATGAAAATGTATAATGCATTACAACATACATTATGAATACTGTTATACTGCATTAAAGGGTATAAAAATGCAGTATGCTTTAGGCTATAAAGGCTTTAAGCAAGGTATTACCAAAAATTGTCATTATTTACTATTTAATTTATTTAATAAGACATCCAAAAGTTGACTTCATGCAAAATCAACTTATTTCCAAGATGATAACTGCATAGCAATCGATTAAACGTGTAACACAGATCATGTGACCTGTATATTACTGTTGGAAATGTTTGTTTCATACTGTTTCACATGCTAGTTGTCTCACTTGTTAACACTGATGCATTAACTAATGAACTAACAATGAACAAACAGCATTTATTAACCTTTGTTAATATGTCAGTTAATAAAAAATTTTGTTATTCACAGTGCATAAACTAATGTTAACAGATACAACTTTTGATCTTAAAAATTTATTAAATTAACATCAACTAACATTAATAAATGCTGTAGAAGTATTGTTCATTGTTCATGTTAACTACTGTAGTCAACTAATGAAACCTTATTGTACAGTGTCACCCAATTATCAAACTAAATTAATTTTTACACAAAGCTAAAGCACAGAAAGGGAAAGTCTTACCAATTTTGTGTCCATCTTTGCTTTTATGTCTCTGGCGAGCGTTAAGAATGCCTGTGGGTAGAGCAGAAAACGTCATTATGTCTCGATTATATCTTTAAACATTCAGTCAGCTGCAGATATAAGGAAATTAAATGAGGATTCATCATAAAAGCCATTTACACTTACATTCTCAACGTTGATATTAGCCTTCGCACTCGTCTCCATGAACTTGATGCTGTACTCTAACGCCAGCTAAACGAGTACAGGCAGATTTTAGTATGGAAAATACAAGTATATGATTTCTCTGGACTGTTTAGCAGTTCTAGCCATTCGTGGTGATTAACTAAACACATTCTTGTGGAAGGTGGTATCATTGCTGTAGAGTCTTATACAATGAAAGTTAAATTATATTATACTAGCATATTATGCTCTTTTTGCTTGTTTTGAAAAAAAAAAAAAGTGGTATAGGAGAAGCTCAAGGAACAAGGTCGCTCACCTTCTCGCCTCTGTCTTTTGACACCTGCCTCTTCTCATTAATGTCACATTTGTTCCCCAAAATCATTTTTTCTACATCCGCTGATGCATGCTGGGTTGAAAACACAAGAACATGAGCAGCAATAATTTGCTGTTGAATATGCAAACATTATTGGTACACTGGTAATGCTACATTTTCAAAACTGACTAGTCTGAATGACTAGTAATTAGGTTACTTGTAGTTTAGACAACACTAATAAGAGTTCACATAACATTAGGGCTGTCGCGATTCGTCGATTTTATTCGACTATTCGATAAAAAAAAAAAATCCTCGACTTCATTTTGCTCGTGTCGACTAACCGGCAAAATACCGGAAGTGGCGCATTTCATGGACGAGAATCCATAAAACACATTATTTGTCTGTTTCCCAAGGCTGCATGATATATTAAACCCTGCTGCTTCAACACTAACTGCGGTTACTGAAACCACGCCTTCTTTCTTTGCGTGCACATTTGGGCGGCATTATGCAAATATTTCCACATAGTGAGGTAGTATTAGTGAGTGTAATTATTTATTTTATAACCGTTTGTTGCAAAAAAATGCGGATAAGACCTGATGATTATGCATATTAAGCAAGCGCTGCACACAGCAGAAGCCTTGAAATCTGAAGTGTACTGTTAAGGAAGATAAATTGGGCACTGAAACACTCACCTCCTCTATGTTTCGGATCCAGTTTTTGATGTTGTCAAATGATTTCTCATTGGTAATATCATAAACCAGCATGATACCCTGAGATCAGAGCACAAGACAAATTACAACTGTGCACAAAACAGCAATTATGAAGACAACAGCAGAAGTGTTATTACTGCGTTAACCATGTGCTGAAAATCCTTAATCTAATTCAAAAATGTCCAGCCTTTTAAAGATTGCTTGTCAAACTCTCATTATGCAATAATATAATAAAATCTTGGTTTCAAACGTGTTTTCTCGCAATTAGCGCAGGCCTACGATCAATCATTTCCAAAAAGAAATACAAAATTTGTGTTACTGAAAAAAATTCAATATTTGGTAATAACAGCATACTAAGAAATTTATAAGCATTTTTGACCGGGAACACAACGTGTGTAACAAGGTGGGGGGGAAAAGAAAAACATTTAGAAAATATTTTTGGGAAGTAGTTATAACTAGTGTAAGCCAAGTCAATAGGTTTTGGTCTAATGCAATAACATTAACTACTTTTTCTGGAAAAAGAAACTCCTCTCCAGAACACAACATAAGGGTTAACCAGCGAGACAGACCAGAAGCTCATACAAAGCACAGTAAAGGAGTACATACTTCAGCATCATCTTACCATTGCACCTCTGTAATACGCCGTTGTGATCGTTCGGAATCGCTCCTGTCCTGCCGTGTCCCTGTAAAAATCAAACAATATCAGTGTTGTAACTGCAGTCCTGCTGAAATGCAGTTAAACTGGAGGATGACCTCCTCCTTACGAGAACAATGACAAAACTGAACCACTGACACGTGCTGCTCTGTAAAGGAGAAATTAAACCGGTCATGGTTTCACTAGTCAAACAGCGGCTCCTTCAGAAAACGAAGTCACCCATGCCATTCCAGCAATCTGCTAATGTTCAACTAGTGCTGAGAGTGACACTAGAAGGAAAAGACGACTAGAAACTCACCATATCTGTAACTTTATCTTCTTGCCATCTAGTTCTATTGTCCTGATCTTGAAATCGATACCTGGAAGAGACAATACGTAACTGCACAACTGTCATAAGCTGAAAAACCAACCCAATACAGTGCCTCTTTCAAATATGTCCACTTCCAGCAACATCACACTATTTTTATCCATAGGATGCATATGAACACGTGCTTTATGAACAGATGGCAAAGCCATGCATCCAATCAGCTAGACATTTCTTATCAGCCTTTCATATTACAAAGTAACAAAAACATAAGCATGACCAGTAAAATTATACATTATTGAATGATCGAATGATCTTAACAGAGCAATTGATTAAGAAAATGTTCCATTTACATCAATACACTCAAAAAGTACCATATTACTACCACGCTTTTGAACATATTACCATGAAATCATCACATTTTTGAACATGTAGATGTCGATAACACGGTTTCGGAAGTTCCATTCTATAAAGTAACTTGGATTACTACGGTTAAAGTATACAATAATCATTCAGCACCAAGGTATCTATATCAAAGTACCTTCTCATATTAGCATAACTGTACCATGGTACTACCACAGTAAAAGTTTTTGTAAAGCTATTTAACTGAAAGTGGACATGTATATTATTAAGTCCTAAACATCTTATAGTGTTATTTCTAATCATAAATTTTAAGCATTTTAATTGGATATTCACAGAATGATTCTAGTTATTTGATATTTAAGTTTACAAAATAAGCGAATCTATCATTTAGTATCGGAGTCATTCTGTCAGAACAGCTAACAGTTGGATGCTAACAAATAGAAACGTTCATCAGACACCTTATCACCGCACAAAATAATTAATTAAATGACAACACCAGCAAAACTGTCAAAGTTAAACAAAACAAACCACATGAACTCAAGAAGAGCTAACAGTTACTAGTCCATTAGCCTAGCCGTTAGCACAGCCTGACGTTTTTATAAACAATCGGAGTACAAAACCTTTAAAACAGAGACATTAATACCTATCGTCGAAATAAACGTCGAGTTAAAGGCATCCTCCGAGAATCTGAACAGCACACAGGTCTTCCCGACGCCGGAATCCCCGATTAACAGCAGTTTAAACAAATAATCGTAGGTCTTCGCCATACTTAATGTATTGCGGAAATCCCGCCCGGTACTTTAGCAGACAGCGCAGAATCCGCAAAGCAGCGAGGAACTGACCAATCATACTATGGAGAAGGCGGTGTATATGAATATTAATGAGGTACGTCATAACCTTCCAGCAACGTGCGGGCACGGACCGTCATTAATATTCATAAGACATCTATGACGCCTTCGCCATAGTAGGATTCGTTCGTTCGCCAGCGGTCGTGACGGCCACGTCGAACGTCAGACTACACGATTAATATTCATAAGCTAAGTCTTCGCCATAGTGAGATTCGTAAAATGTGCTTCCTGAACTATCACAAGACCTCATACCTTCACAGCAATTACTTACGTAAGTCTGTGCCTCAAGGTCATTACTAATTAGCGTGTGTGGCCGGTCAAATTCCTTCATAAGACTTGGCTTCAGGCCTGTGGTTTATTTTCGCTATGGTCTATTTCCCCATAATATTAATGTAAAACAATTTTTATATTCATAAATATTTAAATGTAAACATATATATATATATATATATATATATATATATATATATTGCATTAAAATAAAGAGAATATGAAAATAATGTAAAAATGCAGAAAAAAGAAGCTTCATCTTCTTTTGCAAGATATAATAATTACAATAATTTTGTACTTTTCTTGTGACATATCTTCCAACAGGCAAGTGTAATTAAAAAAAAAAATAATTCTCAGATTGGTGTGGTGTGCAAATAAGTAAACATTTATTTAGTTTAACAGGTATAGAAAACATCAAACCACAGTGAAAATAGCCCTTGCAGCATCAAGGGTACAAAATGGTCCCATAAATGACAAACTAATAAAATCTTCTTCATGCCAAAAATAGTCCAAGAAATCTCTATGTTCCAATACCTTTACAACTTTATGTTTTTTGGTACATTCGCATACATTTTCCTAGCATCACTACTAAAATGTGATTTACTAATTGTTTTATGCACTGACCCTTTGATGTTGCGTTTCCATTGTTTTAGGTATACTTTCTGCCTTTATGTTCATTCAGAAGAAATAAATAAAACAACACTACCCTCACACAGCAGACAGATCGAAAAAAATTTAAAAAACTGAAAAAGGGAAACATTCTTACATGCAATAATGGGTCATAATTTGAAAGTCTAAAAACATAAAACACTATTAACTATTAAAATATTATTATATTTTGGTTGTATGCCATATATTGTGTCAGAAGTTGTATTTAACCTGCAGCACTCTTGGACAAATGGCAACAACAAGACATTATTTATTACTTAATGGACTAATAGGTGCATTAGGAAATAATCAGAAAATTATAAACCAAAAATAATTGGTGGAAATAACAAAACGTACAACATACAAACTCCAAAAACATGAAAAGCTAAACATAGAACTGCTGCAATGTTCTTCATGGACTGCTTCTCGTTTGCTCACAAGCTGTTGAGCTCCTGAAGCGTTTGATCCAGGACTTGATGCATCTCCAGGTTCTGCTGTTTTGCCTCAGCCACATCCTCTGAAATAAGCCAGCACCATGATTTAAAGAGACACAATAGCAAATATTTCTGCCATTTTTCTAAACATGATTCTCTAAAGTGTTGATTGCATAACAAGTCTGTCCCTTCCGGGTTTAAACCAGTAAACTATAAACCACAGCTGGGTTATGGAAGTAAAATCCCATTCATTTCGCCTCCACGGAGAAGCTGATTTTTACAGATAATGCAGAAACCTTTTTAAGGACAGAAATGCAATAAGCTCTGAGATTCTTAAGTCATAATATATGAGATTTTAGTCATAATATATGTTTATGTAGAAGCCACATGTGTGATTTCAACTTTTTTTAAGCAATGTTTTTAAACAAATTGTTGCCATGTGCTCTTAAACTTCTTATAGATATTTGCATATATTTGTATATTTTGCGGTAAAACTTTTTTAGAAATAATAATAATAATTATTATTATTATTCCACTATTGCAAGTCTCCTTGTTTAAAAGGCATAAATATAAAGTGTGATTTCAACTTTTTTTTAACAAATTGTTTCCCTGTGCTCTCAAGTACTTATATATTTACATATATTTAAATATTTAAAAATAATAATATTTAAAATATTTTAGACTAAATAAATTATACACACACACACATATACGTTTTATTATTATTTTCTATGAGTTTTGGCTTTGTGACAAATTTCTTATGTTCCACTGTTGTAAGTCGCTTTCTTTGGATAAAATGCATAAATACATAAACGTAAATGAAAGCACTATATTCAGCATTGCTATACAAAAGAGGATCATTAACACCTTAAATATGAAATAACTATCACATGTCTAATATAAAAAAAAGTTGTTTCTTTAATATTTTGTGTTTCTATGAAAAGGGCCACAAAGATGGAGAAAGACTAGACTAGACTCAAGATCAGAGAGGCAGGAAATATGTATTATTTCTAAAAGCATGAAAATGAAACAAGTGGGAGTGTTCAAAGAGCAGAAAAAAACTTTATTCAATTTTAGAGGAATAACCAAACTTCAAGAGAGTGCAAAATACATAAGGCACCGCTGAGGAAGAAAGGGTGAGCAGAGAAAGCGAGCCAATCAGGATTATTTATGCAGAGCTATCAATCACAGTTAGCACTCATAATGTTCAGCTCGAGCACTGCTGATACATAAAAGCATCTATAAGGAGGTCATATCATTGAGAGCGTGATCCAGCTCCTCACTAATGGCCTTGTATTTCTGTAAATTAATTATACACACACACACACACACACACACACATATATACGTTTTATTATTATTTTTTATGAGTTTTGGCTTTGTGACAAATTTCTTATCTTCCACTGTTGTAAGTCGCTTTCTTTGGATAAAATGCATAAATACATAAACGTAAATGAAAGCACTATATTCAGCATTGCTATACAAAAGAGGATCATTAACACCTTAAATATGAAATAACTATCACATGTCTAATATAAAAAAAAGTTGTTTCTTTAATATTTTGTGTTTCTATGAAAAGGGCCACAAAGATGGAGAAAGACTAGACTAGACTCAAGATCAGAGAGGCAGGAAATATGTATTATTTCTAAAAGCATGAAAATGAAACAAGTGGGAGTGTTCAAAGAGCAGAAAAAAACTTTATTCAATTTTAGAGGAATAACCAAACTTCAAGAGAGTGCAAAATACATAAGGCACCGCTGAGGAAGAAAGGGTGAGCAGAGAAAGCGAGCCAATCAGGATTATTTATGCAGAGCTATCAATCACAGTTAGCACTCATAATGTTCAGCTCGAGCACTGCTGATACATAAAAGCATCTATAAGGAGGTCATATCATTGAGAGCGTGATCCAGCTCCTCACTAATGGCCTTGTATTTCTGCTTCTGAGCATAGAGTTCATCTGGAGGTCAAAGGTCAAGAGCAGAAAGGACAGATGTTTCGGCCAAGGATGGAGAACGCAGGAGACAGGAACAGGAAATGATAGACAGAAAACAAAAGGAAACAGTAAGTTCAACAGGTCAAAGTGGACAAGACAGCATGATAATGCCTAAAAATGCTTTCTAGGTAGGCAGCTCACTAGATACAAGAAAGAAAGGAAAAAGAAAGAGAAAAGGGGGATGAAAAAATCGAAGTCTAATCCTAAACACTTAGATTTGTTCATTTTTTGTGCATTTATATGTTCAGTATTATTACATTTATTTAATATTAATCAATTATGAAACAAATTAAATTTCTACAGATGATAATAGTTCTTAATAAACAGGAATATAACAGTGCTAATGTTTTATTAAATTGAAAATTATTTATTAATTATTTAAAATGAATATAAACATATATATAAATCATTTGTTAAGTTGTATTTAATACTAATCAATTATGGAAAATTCAATTTCAGCTCTACAGAAAAATTCAAAAGTAGCTCTACAGAAGATAATAATTCTTAATAAACAGAAATATAACTACGTTAAAGTTTTATTAATTTAAAAAGTATTTATTATTTATAATAAATATCTTTTAATTGTAAAATTATTTATTTATTAATTATAATAAATATACATATATAAATAATTTATTACATTTTATTTAACATTAATCAGTTATTAAACAAACTCAATTTCAGCTGTAAAGCAGCTCTACAGAAAATAATAGTTCCTAATAAACAGGAATAGAACAATGTTGATGTTTTATTAATTGTAAAATTATTTATTTATTAATTATAATAAATATACATATATAAATCATTTATGAAATGTTATTTAATATAAATCAATTACGAAACAAATTCAATTTCAGCTGTAAATTTCATTTCAGCTATAAAGAGCTATTTAATATTATTCAGCCAAATTTAGTTCAGTGTTCTTTCAATTTAGTTCAATAACAGTGTCAATGTTGCGAAGTTCATCAATTATGAAACAAGTTCGATTCGGCTTCAATTCATCTTCTCCAGGTGTTTGCAAAAACGTTTTAAAAAGACGAGTCGAACAGGCTGAAGATCCGAACACCGTTAGCTCTGTTCTTTCAGTACAATGAAAAGAGAAATAAAGCCGCTGCACACGGTCATAAGAGACCAAGGCTAATGCAGCTGACGGTGTTAGTGACCTCATCAGCTGGAATACCTCAGGACCCAATCACAGCTTACCCTCGAGGCCATCGATGGTCTTTTCCAGTTTGGCCACCGACCTTTCTGCAAACTCAGCACGAGTCTCAATCTACGGGGGAAAACGCAGAAAGAAAAAAGGATTTGAAAAGCTCAGAGAATGGCCTGAATGTCACGCATCTGACCTACGAAAGAAAGACTTGCATGCAAAACTATTAGAACGAACAGCTGCTTTATGTTAAACTCGCTCACCTCTTTCAGTCTATCAGTGAGAACTTTGATCTCCTCTTCGTACTTGTCCTCTTTCTCCGAATACTACAGACAGAAAACATGCAAAAGCTTATTTAGATCACTGGTTCTCAACCGGTCTTTCTTCAGGTCTCAGATTTAACACTGGACATCAAGTGGCAACATGGTACCAGTATGGCTTACGTTAAATAATATGTTAAAAGTA